CATATATATAACAGCACATTTTGTAATAGCCAGATCTTGGAAGCAATCTAAATGCCCATCAACTGAGGTATGGAAAAAAAGATGTGGTATTTTATATAATGGAGTACTACTCAGCTATAAAGAATGATCACACTGAGATACTTATAAGTAAATGGATGAAACTAGATAGCATAGTCGTAAGTGAAATACATGAAACTCACATGAGTATTGTTTCTCTAGTGTAAGAAAGAATAAAATACATAAGATACAAAAATCTCAATAAATACAGAAAAAGGTAAGAATCTTCTCAAAGGGGAAAAATCAAATATCTCAGGGAAAAGCATGAAAAATAAAAAGGAAGGGAAAAGAAAAATACCTAAATGTGTATAAACACACTTAGGATAGGTAAGATGATTGTGTTACAAATTCTATAAATTTGTAGAACAAAGCAGTTAATATTCATAAGATTGCAACAATTTTCCATGTTTGTATCAGGTGACCTGAAGATCTCTTGAAGATCATTATGAAAAATATCAACCTTAATTCCGGTCCTACCACCATGTTTTGAAACCCTGTATCATTATTGTTGGGCTCTTTGCTATTGTTATTTATTTGTCTTTTTTGTTTATTATTTTTCTACTAATATGTTTTGTTTTGTTTTTCAGTCTACTGCAGAAAGGATAGGTATACATGTACAAGCTAATACATGGCTAGCAATTCTCTTAAACAGTTTATTAGAATCAGTTTTGTTATATGGGATAAAATGAATAGTTATTTGCAGAAAAACAGACATTATGGTATCCTTTGCTGATTTTGTATCATCATGCTGTGAAATTCAATAATGCTTCTATTTTTTGATCCGAGTGGTTTTAGTATTATTTGTGTTGTTTAATTTCAGTATACATGACTGTATGGACAGCTATTTTGAACAGAATAAGAGACATTATGACAGTCATTGTTAACTTTCATATTGTCTTGTTTTCATCAAGGCTTGTAATGCCCTCATTACCCTGTTCTGGTTAGTTTTACACTGTTTTGTTTTGTATGAATTTGTTGTGTATGAAGATATAGATAACCATTTAGAAGAACACAAGAGACATGGTAGCCACTGTAGATCTCATGTTGTCTTGTTTTTAAATCTGTGTCACTTACATTGTTTTCTTCTGATCTGCTTTGTTGTCTTTTGTTTAGTTTTACTCCTTTTCTTAAATAAAAAAACTAAATGTAAATCTCAAATCAATAAAAATAATTATATAAAATTGGAAAAATGATGAATGAACAAATACCACAGCACTATAAGTTTTTCCTAAACTGTGGGAATTTAAAGCATGCTGTGTCAAAATGTATACTCTAAAGCAACCACTAAAAAACAAAACAGACATACACCTGATATGCCAGATAATTGAGTATATTTATGAAAGCTCTCCACTTATCCACAGAACTACTTAAAAGAAGCACGGAAGGGATGAAACAAACAAAAGAAATGCAAACAGAAAGGGATGAATGTAACAAAATCAATATCCATAACAAATCCCAATTATCTACTTAATATAAATGAGCCAATTACAAAACATAGCTTGTAATACTGAATAAAAAATACTTTCTGTGTGCCAGGACATGTACCTTTAAAATGTACTGCAAAGATACTAATAAGAATATATATGAGAAAGAGACACATACATAAAAGACCCTCCAAATGCATCATGAAGAAAACAGTTCAACCCAAGAAAAGGAGGGAAAGAGTAGAACAGGCACTTCAAAAAATACAAGATATCATGTAAGTTGTTTTCATCTTCTTTTACCTGTTGGATCATTTCCCAAGTTGGGCAGAAGAGTTACTTTTGTAGAATTCCCTGCTGGCTCCTCTGGGAGTTAATTTTCCTTAGGGAGCCTTTACCAAGCTCCCACCCCATTCCAAGGGCAGGTAGCAACAACTTGAGGCTTTCTCACTTCTTACAATGCAAATTGGTCAGATTATAATTTAGTTTCTCATTTTTGGAAGAAAAGAAAAAGAAGTTTGCCTTTGTGTCACAGGCAAAAGCTGAGATTACTGCAAACCACCCAGGTTCCAAGGAATGCAACAACATTCAGAAGTCCTGATGACCACAAGGCTTGCCAGTTGAGAATTCAGTGGATCCTCTGAGCCTGCCTCCAGGCTTCCTTGCTGGGTGTTTGCTTGGGACCTGAATGCATCAGAGGCTGTGGTTAAGGCAGACTTTTGTTCCACTTCCCATATCCTCACGTGTTTGTCACCGCTGTGAGACATGGACTACAACCTTGTATAGTCGTGACCTCTCCAGGAGTCTTACATTTGAGAGACTGTTCCTGGGCTTCAGGGGGACAACCAGGAACTTCCTAGCAAGGAGGAGAAAAGATCACACTCCTGAGATGAGTTAGAGAAGCTGGAGTGTGGGTTATCTGCCACCCACACAGCCCTAAGGTGCTGGACTCAGCTTCTGCTGGAAGCTCAGCCTACTTGTGGAAAGATCTGGCCATTTGATCATGCCCTGGGGTGCACATATCCAACTGGAGGGGACAGTGACATCCCTGATGTTACAGGAAAATGCTCCAAACTGAGAAAACAGAGGAGCACAACAGAACAGCTGTCATCAGGCCCAGGAGTCCAGCACTTACTGTATGGAGATGCCCTGTCCTGGCTTTCCACACTTGGCTTGGGGACCTAGAGTCTTCTGCACTCTGATTTTCTCCTGGGAGCAAGTGAGTCCTGAGCACAGGATGGATGGCTCCTTGGGCCACAGCTCTTTACTATTGCATGAGGATCACATTCTCACTGTTGAGGTGCTCACTTATGTCCCTTTTTCCCCTAGGATTTCTAGATGCTGAAGTCATTCAGTCCCCAAGGCACCTAATCAAAGCCAAGCAAGGGAAGTCCACTTTGCTATGCTACCCCACCTCTGGACACATAAGTGTGTCCTGGTTTCAGTAGGCTCCTGGCCAAGGCCCCCAGTTCGTCATTCAGTATTATGAAATGAGCAGAAAATTACAGGAAACATGCTTGACTGATTCTCAGGTCAGCAGTTCAGTGACTATCACTCCGAGCTGAACAAACGCACCTTGGAGCTGGAGGACACAGCGGTGTATCTCTGTGCCAGCAGCTTGACACTGCCTTGCAGAGCAATTGGCTTTCTGTATTCCAACCTTCCAGCCCCAGCTCAGGATGGCATGGAGGAGGGGTGGAGGATGGTTGTCACCTTAAGTCAAGTCCTGTGGATGCCTGCAGTGCTTTGCTAACCTCTCCCTGTTCTGCTGGGCTCAGCCTCAGGGCTCATGGAAGTTCAGGTTCCAGACCTGCAAGATGCTCTTGAAGGCTCTGCCTGGACCTTTCAATTCCCAGGCACTGGCAGGGGCCCTATGCCTTTTAGGTGTATAAGTGGATGCAGTGGATTGACACATATAGTGAAAGTTTAAGTTAAGCATTGATTACAGTTAAAGGCACATTGCTACTATCCCACCCCCATCTTCTCTCTTGCTTTAAACATGCTCATCCCATCATTCTAATCATCTTATGAAGCAATGGTGGAGGACTTCTTTTGTTTCTAATTTGCACAGCCATAGATGCTTCTACCTCTTAAATTGATTTATATGTTTACCTTTCATAGCTATTTTCACTTTGGGCAAGAGCCTGAAGTTGCCTAGCACTGGATCTGATGAATAAGGCCAGTGAGGATGCCCTATAATAATTTGTTTAAAATGCTCCAGGGTTACAGCATTTGAAGAACTCTACTACCCCTACGTTCTACAGCCCTACGTTCTTAATCCCAGAAACTCTTATAGCTGAACAGGAAGACTTCATCCCTGGCCTTCTCATAACCATTATGTTTCTACTGCCTTTGAGCATCAGCAAAGCTCTGGACATAGATGGAGAAGCCTTCATAGGCTGACCAGGCTCCAATCCCAGTCTCTCAAGCATATGCTATGCTGATCTCTTCCTGTCTCCACTTCTGATTCGGTGTGTTCCTCACTGGAGCACGATTGGAGAAGACATCCTTCATGATTCCATCGAGATGTATAGTCACAGGGAGAAGGCCTTACACTGACCTATCGCCTGTAGAGTAAACAATACTCCATGCTAGTGAGTACTTGTAAATTTTTCATGAGAGAATATTTTGATTCACTTTTCCCATGTCATGAATACAAGATATTCTTAGTGATTACAGAACATTTCTTTTTGACTGTGGAGACAATATGCCTGCAATCTTAGCAAAGACCTCATCCACATCATGAAAGGCCCATCTTTCCTTTTTGGGGGGAGTGTTGCTGTAGAGGATAGACAGGCCTTATACCTGTGGTCCGCCTGACTCAATCTACAAGTCCTGGAATCCCAAATATGTTTGTGGCTTCATGCTGATGAGCCTTCTCTGTTTTTGACAGGAAGTCCAATCATGGTGACTCATTTGGTCAAGGTTGCATGGCCTCCCTGCAAGGAAGGAAATCTTCATATCCATGAGAACACATAGGGCCCTCATAGCACTCCTGATAGCTGAGATGGTGTGAGAAGGTGTAGGAGAATTGCACAAATTTTAAGGTTCTTGACCTTGATATTTTTAAGCCTTTATAGATATCAAGTGTCTCTTATACCCAAGTATATAACCTCAGACTGACTTCGGGTAGTTGTTTTTAGGAAAATAAAAATACCTGGAGGTGACCTTTTAGCAAAGTAACTATAGAAGGCATGAGAACTGTTGAGAGAAGGCTTTTTAAATTGGAAAAATATAAGAAAAAGATAAAACAGTATACAAATAAGTGTTTACACCCTAAAGAGATGGTTGTAGGAATAGATTTCCACACTAAAGCTAGGGAAGGGGCATATGCACTTGTAATTAAAAATAGGCTGTACATCATTTTCCATTTGAGAGTGATAAATTGTGAACTTATGGTATGTATACCATGAAATTCTACACAGATGCATATGTACACGAAAAAATACAAAATTATAAGTGAAAACTGTCTTGTAGGGGAGGATCATGGCAACTTCACCACACAGCTCATGCATTTGTCAGGACAGTGACGTCACTGAGTCACAAAAACCCCAAGTTCTACTTCCCCTAGCCAGGACTGGAAGTTACAAAATCACTGCCCTCACTGAGAAATGGGCACCAAGCTCTTCTCCTGGGTGATCTTCAATCTCTTGTGGGCAGGTGAGTGTGGACCATAGGTGGGCTTCCTTCAATAAAATCCCCAAAACCTCAATACAAGCCTTCCTCTCTGGTTCTTCACTGGGCTCTTTCTCTGTCATAGGGTATATAGAGGCTGTAGTCATCCAGACCCCAAGATACAAGATCACAAAGACAAAAGAAAAGGTGACTTTGAAATGCCACCAGACCAACAACCATGACAACATGTTTTGGTATCGACAAGATCCAGGGCATGGACTGAAGCTGATCCATTACTCATATGGTGTTGACGACAAGAACAAAGGAGAAGTCGAAGGATACAGTGTCTCCAGAGAAAACACAGAGGACTTTCCCCTCACTCTGGACTCAACCAACCTGGCCCAGTCATCTGTGTACTTTTGTGCCACCAGTTATCCCACAGCGCTGCATAGCCAACTCCTCTCTGTACATAAAGTGCAGTTAGGAAGACTGTGGTTGTGTGTGCCCAGAAACCATGGCTCAACCGTGAGAAGTTTCAGCCTCTTCAAGAATCACAGAGACCTTGACACGAACTGGAGCCTTCCAGGCTGGCGATCAGTCCTGAGATTCTTGCCATGTTTGTCTCTGCCACACCGAAGGTCACTTCAACACCATAAGATTGCTTGTTTTCTCTTCCGTATCTCTTAATATTGGTAGAAATACATCTTTAACTGTTACATAATAAATCTCTTGGTACTCTCCAGGCCAGCATCCTTTTCTCACCCCTGAGCATTTCAGTGACTTCTATTACCACAAAACCTCAGTTATAAACGGTCTCTGCTCCAAGGTGCCTTTAATGTCTGGGGCCCTGTCAGATCCTGTGTCATTGCTCTTCATTTATCTCTTCATCAGCATCCTGTACCACATTTCCTCAGCTCTCTCTGTCCCAGCCATGTATCTCCACAGTCAGTTCTGTCCTCCTGTGTCATTTTCTATCCAGTGGACACTTTTTTCCAGGCCATTTCTTCTTTGAAGAAAATATATCCTTTCCTTTTCTATAGGATCTCAACTTCATTCCTCTGATGAAAATATATTTCAGATACACTTCCGTATGTAAAGAAAAATTGAAATCTTCAGAAATGGATTCATAAATATATTTTTAGCTTTCAGTAGAGGGAGAACATTTTTAATAGAGGCACAAAAGATTATAATACAGGACAAATTATATCATTTCAGTTATATTCAAATCTTTTCAGCATAACTCAATGTAAAAAGTGAAAAATCAGGCCATGGACCAGGAGGAAGCATGAGGAATGCTACAAGTGGTGAAGAATCACAGAAGACATCACCCATCATACCCAGGTGTTTCCTTTACAAATCACAGCCTTTTTCCAATTGGAAGACTCAGTGTCTCTTCCAGGTCCAAATGTGGATCACGATGTTATAAGTCAGTGTCAACTGTGACCCTTAAAATAAACATACCACTACGTTTGAGGTCCCCACACAAAACCCACATTTGGAGATTTAGAAGTGGCGTATACATGATGCAGTACAGAACTGTACTCATAGTTAAAATTTATGACAGTGACAAAGCAATTTTTCAGCAGCAGATCATAGTGATAAAGCACACAGTTAGGATGAAGGGGAATCTGCAATCAGATTTTTTCCATCCAAGAGGGGTCATCACAATTCACCCTCCACCCAGACACTAAAATCTGTGCAGTGCTTTCTAGTGGAGCCAGTTTTTACATCAGTCTTTACTGAAGACTGGCCCTCCCCTACCAAATTTGTACCAAAAATCCTGATCTCAGAAGGAAATTCAGTGCTAAACATGATATCGGTTGCACCAAAAATCTAGGCAACATGATCCATATTACTTAGGGAAATTGTTAATTAAGTGCAGAACATTGCTTGTTCAACAAACAGCTTACATATACCAGGCAAAGTTCAACCTTGTGAGTAGGATTTTGTTAGCACAGCACACTCAACCTACTATGTCAGCTATTTTGGATGGTTTGTTGGGTGAATGTTAAGTGTTACATTTGAAACCCTCATGTTAAAGATGACAAGGGTTTTTAGGGCCTTTGGATATGGGGCAAGCTGAATCTTCCTCTTCCTTTTCCTCCCCCAGTCATCATCTCATTCCCATCACCATCTTTATACCAAGAGGCATCTTCAAAGAGCACAACACCTCAGACAAACACTGGAAAAGCTGTAAGCAAAGGAGTTTTTTGGAATCTAGCTTACAACCTTTCACTGAATGGGAGGAAGTTCAGTGCATAGCTGATGGGGTGAGAGGAGAAGAAAACCTGGGTCAGGCACCCTGTGTTGGCCAAGGGAGGAGAATAAGAAGCCAGCCACTTCCCATGATGGCTGGGAGACAGGAAGAGCCAAGGCCTACCTCCATCACCAACCCTGTAAGCCACTGCCTGATCCAGAGAATCACAGGCTGAGATGACAGCTATTGAAGAAAACACAACTTAATGCTTACAGTGTTTAATGTTTCATTGACTTCGCAGGCCTAAAGCTGATAATCTGATCATCTGTTAAGCAGATAGCAATACGCAGTATATCATGTATGAGGAATCTTCCTCTGAAGGTGGTAGCCATTGTTAACTCCCTATTGTCGTATTATAAATCTTGTGTCATGTTCAATTTTTTCTTTGATTTTACTTTATTCTGCTGTGTCTTGTTTGATTTGATTCTGTCTGATGTTATGGGCAGCTATCTCAAAGATAGCAAGATACATTATGGTAGCCATTTTGGATTTGTCATTATCTTGTTTTGAAATCCTGTATACTGTTCATTGTTTTTTTATTGATTCTATTCTGTTCGTTTTTTGTTTGATTTTACTAAGTCTGCTGGAAGGGGCAGCTATTTTGAAACAAGAAGCAACATTTTAGTCACGGTTGGTTTCTTAATATCTTGTTTTGAATTTCTGTATCACTTACACTGTTTGATTTGCATTATTATGTTTTAGGTTGCTTGGTTTTATTCACTTTAAAATAAAAAAATAATAATAACAATAATTAAAGAAGCCCTGGATCATCCCAGGGAAGACGTTGGAGTAGGCTGTAAGCAGGAACAGCACAATCAGAGACAGCCATGTTATGTTCACAGGTACAAAGAAAAGAGAGCTCTCAATACCCAAGCCCTTAGATGGCCTCTCCCTGCTCAGTCACCTCATGTGATTCAGAATCGTTTGCTGGATGTATTTTTGTCTGTCAAGAATGGATGCATCTTGCATGTAGTTAAGAAAAGCCCTGCTACAAATGTGGCAACCTCAACATTGCCAACCACATACCTTGAAAAGCTGTAGGATCTCGGTTAAAAGTGACAATTTCAGTCTCAGAGAAATTAAAGAGATTCCGTGTTTCTCTTCTCAAATATCCTTTGTTTTCTCAGAGTAAGTAAAATAGTTCCAGAAATGTAGCCATGAATTTCTGGACCTGCAACTACGGTGCAAAAAATTCTATGCAGATTTCATCTGCACTCTAGTGTCACCTGGACACCATCCTCACACAGATATTCATGCCATGTCTGCACTACTCCCACAGATATCAAAGGCATGTGACAGGACTGGGACAATGGCATCATCTATGAGAATCACATCAGCTGGAATTTCACCAGCACCAAGTTTACACATTGTAACAGAACACTTGTGAGGATAAAAATATGAAACTGATCACCCTAATATCTCTCTGTGTAAAAAAGACGTAGCCTTCATCCATGTGAAAGCTCAGCAGTGACTCCTTGGCCAGCAAAAAAGACATTGCTAAATCATCAATACATTTTTTCAAATGATTTTCTCAACCATACTTTCAGGGTCTTCACAACTCTAAACATACTTCACTACAGTGACTGAGACGGCTACTACTGTACCTCACATGAAGGGTGCCGTCAATGGTTGAATGAAAGTAAGAAAATAATTATTTATTATGCAGGCTTCTGGGAATTCCAGTTACAGACTATCAACTCTGCATGTTTTTATTGTAAAACTTTCACTACAATATGATGAGGAAAACAGTTCTGACTTCACTGAAATAAAGGTGTAAAAGCATCTGTTTGTTTTAGATGTGCTCTTGATAAACCCAAGGAATCATGAAAAGGCATTAGACCAAGAGAAATGCCAATGTTAGATGATTAAGAATATTTTTCTTTTGTGACTTCTTGAATTAAAGGAGGATGCCAAAGAATGAGGTCAGACATGAGAGAACTTGGTGGTGATTTCCAGTGAGAAGAGCTGTTGAAGCATCCAGATGGTGTCATCCAGCTGACAATGTGATCAGAAGGAGAAGTGAGAAGACCATGAAGGGCTGTGGTATGGCATCTGGGCAGCGGTCCGCTGGAATACTGCATGTGGACAAAAAGGGACATTCCAGGATCAATGAGTATTTGACTCCACGACTAGGGTACCACTCAGCTTGAATTCTGGGACTCAACTTTTTTCCTGTTAGCATTTCGGATTATGGCTGATGGTATTGTTTTCAGTCTTATTTGTGCAAGTAGACTTATGCATTTCAGATTATTCTTGGCATTTTAGGGTTAATTCATACCACATAATCCTAACCCAGAGGCTGAGTGACATCATCTCAAGACTTGACATTTTTGGACAAAAAAAAAAAAAAAAAACTCCCCACCTTTTCTGCTTCTGTACACAAGGACCCTAATCTGGGGATCTTCTTTCAAGCTTGGATCATGCCATGGATGAACATGTTCTGATGTTGGGTGCCCTCTGTCTGAGGAGAGCAGATTCCTCAGAACACAAAGCTATTTAATCACGTGCATGTGCGATGACTAAAAATTTCTTGTCATTCTGTTTCCAAATGCTGTCCCCACAAATCACATCAATGATGAAATGCCTCAGCCTCCACATACAGGGTTATGAAAAAGGACAGAATATAGTTCTCTGGTATGATCCACTTTTAGGACACTGTTGCCTTCACTGGTACTGACAGACTCTGGGGCAAGGCCTGGAATTGCTGATGTCTTTCGAGAATGAATTTCCATCAGATGTATCTGGATGTTTCCTGAGATTGAGAGGATCCCTACTGAAAGGCCTGTGTCCACTTCCCCATTCTGAAAATCCAGCCAGCAGAGCAGGAGGACTAAACCTTATCTCTATGTCAGCACTTTGACCACAGTGAGGCACAACCACCTCCTTCCTTTTCAGAAACCTCATTTGTTCAGCTCTGCCCACTGATTAAGGGCCCTACGAGAAGGAGTCGCTGGCTTTTCCTTCACTAATGGGAATAACTGCATTCAGAACCTCAGAATTCTGACAGCAGGGGGTCAGGAAATTTGCTGTGGACCAATAACACTGGGCAAGTAGCTCCACAGTAATTGGAGATGCTCAGAAGAAATGTTAAACTTTAGAGTTCTTTAAATGATAATCAGCTGTCTAGCAAAATAATTCCAACATATTACAGGACTCAAAATAAATGTAGCCAATGATTTAGCTCAAAAGCATAAGTGCCTGCCTTACAAGTGCAAGGTCCTTAGTTCTAATGCTGGTAACAAAATATAAATACATAAATAAAATCAATATAAGTACATAAATAAGTAACTAAGTAAGTAAATCAATAAAATAAATGTAAAGGCCTAGCAGCCCGAATTTCGCCTAGTGCATTGCAAAGTGCATGCAGCCCTATCCAGTCCATGGAACTTTGCAGCTTTGCTGGGAGACTGGTAAGATTTTCCCCATATCCCATATCACCCAAGGATGCACCAGGAGGTCCCTATGAGCCTATCTTGGCTCCAGTCAGTGACTCTCAAGCTGACTGCAGTTGCTCACAGGGAATTTTTGATGCTTCACTTCTCAAATGATAAGTCCCTGCCCAGCAATGCCAAGTGATTGGAATCATCTGGTAAAGTCTGTCTAAGAACCTCCACTCAATGGGGGAAACTCCCTGCAACACAAATAGATATTCTCAATCCAAGAAACAACTGGTATCTTGCATTCCAATTCCTTAAGTGAATATAGGACAATGACAAATGAAAGAGCAAAATGCAGTCTCAAATCTCAAGCCCATGTCAAAAAAGCCTAGGACACATGGATATATAACAAATGTAGGCCACCTGAAACTCCTAAAATGATAGTGACTGAAGTAAAGAAACAATTCTGGGAAACTATAAAAGAACCCAGATCAGAAATAATCTCTAAGGTAAAAGAAGAAAGGATAAATGTAATGAAAGAAATGCTGAACACATCTAAAGAAGACAGAGTTAAAACATTAGAGGAACAAGGCAAAAATATGGAAACCTTTAACAAACAATATAAGAAACAAACAGAATACATGAAACAGATTCAATGAGATATACAGGAAATTAAAATTTCCATTGAAAGTTGTCAAAACTGCCTCAATGAAAGTGAAGATAGACTTTCAGGCCTCGAAGATAAGACTGCAGCTAGTGAACAGGAAAGGAAAGATCTTTTAAAAATAAAAAGGAACCAGGAAATAACAATTCAACAGCTACAAGATGATGCAAACAAAAAGAACATAAGATTGATAGTTATCAATGAAAAAGAAGGCAAAAACACAAATGATATCAAGAGGCTGTTTATACAACTAATAGCTGAAAATTTCCCAAATATGAGAATGGAAACTAAATAAAGATCAGTGAAGCATATAGAACTCCAAATAACCATAAGCAAAATAGAAACACATCCAGATGTATATTAATCAATACCCAAGATATCCGACATAAGAACAGAATATTAAAAACTGTTAGAAGAATCCAATCCCCTATAAAGAAAGCTTATCAGGATCACAGCAGACTTCTCAACACAAACAATGGAGTCAAGAAGAGTGTGCAGTGAAGTATTTCAGATCCTGAAGGAAAACAACTTCCAACCCAAAGTCAGTGGAGTAATAAAATACTTCCATGACAAAGAACAGCTGAAAAACTTCATGACCATCAAACCAACCCTGCGAAGAATACAGAAACACATTCTAGACAGACACAGGAAAAAAAAACATTAAGTAAGGCAAACAATTAAATAGAGTGGAAAAGTTAAGAATCAATAGCAGAATCATAATAAGTCCAAAATAAAATAATATATTTCAGTTATAATCATTAATGTAAATGGCCTCAATTTACCAATTAAAAGGCATCACAACCTCGGATTTGAAGTTATACTACAAATCTACTGTAATAAAATCAGCATGGTACTGGAATAAAAACAGACCTGAAGATCAATGGAATAAATTAAAACAGTTATAACTTAAAACACACTCAGCCACGTCATCTTTGATAAAATGGCCAAACATTTTCACTGGAAGATAGTCTCCTTAATAAATGGTGCTGCAAAGACTGGCTCCTTATGTGCCTTAAACTAAAGCTAGAGCCATGCCAATCACCATGTACAATGTCATAGTCAAAATGGACTAAAGATCTAAATATTAAAAAAGAAACACTTAAACACTCTAAAAGACAAAGTAGGGACAAATCTTGAAGACATAGGGGTAGGTAGAGTATTCATGAAAAAAATCAAACCAGATGAGAAATACTTTCCAGAATCGAA